CTGCATGAGCAGGCAGTGTGCTTCAGCACCAGGGCAAGGGCCAACCATAGAAATGCTCCAGCTGGCTACCAGAGCATCTCTGTGGAGGACCCAGCCTCCGGTTGCCTCAGGACATGGTCCAGGACCATGCCCTGCCCTGCTTTTTTCCTTTGCGGGTGTTTTTTTTTATTTTTTTTGACCCCTGGATATCCAGGGGTCTAATTTTGCCCCCATGCTGCAAATTTGCAGCATGGGGAACATTTTTTCCTTCCCGCATGTGCCTCTTGCAGCGCCTCAAAGAGCTTTGAGACGCTGTAAGAGACATGTCCACTCTCATTTGGACGCACTCATTGAGGGGAACTCCTTGATTCTCAAGAACTTCTGTGTCACACAACTTATTTTTAATGACCATATTCTTCATCATAGTATAGTTTTAAAGAGAAAATCCTAAAAATAACCAGTGTGAAGGGATTTATGTTGACAAAATCTCAAGGCTTTGTGAGTCATGATACTGGAAAGAGTCCAGAGGAGGGCTACATGAATGATTAGAGGTCTGGAAAACAGACCATATGAGGAGAGGCTGAAGGACATGGGACTGTTCAGCCTGGAAAAGAAGACTTGGGGGGACTTGGTGGTAGCCTTTAAGTATATAAGGGGTGAACATCAGGGGCTAGGAGAACATCATCCGTTTGCCAAGGCATCCCAGGAAAAGGCTAGGAATAATGGTCATAAACTGCTAGAATTTCGCTTCAGATTAGACATAAGGAAAAACTACTTCATTGTTTGTGTGTCAAGAGCCGGGAACAGACTCCCCCCAGAGGTGGTTGTCACCGAGTTGGCGTCACCACGAGGGTAAAGGTCATCGGGCTCAGTGTTCTTATCTTGGACCCTCGCCAGGTTAAAGGAGTGCTTTTCTATTTCTTCTCAAGGAAGAATTCTCACAGTCCTTTGCCTACCTCGCCCGCCACGATTTAGATGAAATTACTGATAGGAGGAAATGACGAATGATGACAGTTACTGTTCTCCATGGGACAATCAACACCTCCCTGGCTAGGGTTGATCCAAAATAGCAATTTAGCAAATTGCTTCTCGGCCTCTTGTCAGCTTAAATTGAGTGTGGTATACAGCAGGGCTGTGCGAAGCTTCAGGTGCTGATTCAATTCGGAGGAGATTTGACCCGGTTTGGTGGCCAAATCTCCAAATCGAAATCGAATCAGGGGACCAATAAAAAGGTCCAAATTGATCCGAAGCTCTGAATCTTCAGAAAAGATTTGGAGAGCTTCCGTGATTCGGACAGTCCCTGCCCGCTGCAGCAGGGAGCTAGAGCCAGATTTGGAGCTGGTAAATAGGGGGCAGGG